ATATAAAATAAAATATTTGTATTTTATAATATTAAGGTATTATATATTATATTAAAATATATAATTATAATATAATATATTTGCATATGTATCATATACACATACACATACATATATGTATATATGTTATAATATAATAATATAATAAAAATATATAATATATGCACATTACAATACATTTTAAAATACATTACATATAATACACATTATATATTATATATACATTTACTAAATATTACATTATATATAATGTATTTAAAATATATTTTAAAATGTATAAGTATTTTTTTTATCATTGTACTCAGAAGTGTTCAAACTTTTTCTGAAAAGCATCAGATAGTAAATATTTTAGGCATTGCAGGCTGTATGGTCTCTGTCACACCTATTTAATTCTGCTGGTAGAGCTCAAAAAATAGGCCAAGATATTATCTACTACCTTATTTATGGACACAAATATGAATTTTATGTAATTTTTGTGTGTCACAGACTATTCTTTTGATTGTTCTCCCCAGCTGTTTTAAAATATTAAAGCATTCTTACCTCACAGGCATACATAAACAGGCAGCGTTCAAAATGACCCAGGGGCCACGGTTTGCAACTCCTGGCTTATTTCCTGCTATTATCTCTAAACAAAATAGTCTAATGTTGCCACTTTTTAAACTTTAAATAAATGGAACACACACGCACACACACACGCACACGCACACACACATACATACACACATATATATAAATACATTTATCAGGGACTTCAAAAGTTTGTATAAAATGGAATTAAATATGAATCTATTTTGGTGCCCAAGATTATGAAATCCATGCAGAGTTTTTTCATATAATACACATTTTCATGAACTTTGTGAAGACCACTTGTATGTCTTTACCTACTAGATAACATCAAATTATTTTCCAAAGTAGTTATGCTGATTTTTACTTCTGTAAGCAATGGATAAGAGCTCTTTTTCTCCATATTTTTGTCAATAATTGATAATATTAGACTTAAAACATTTGGCCAATTCGGTGGGTGTTTAATGATATCACGCTGTGCTTTTAATTTGCATTTCTCTAATTATGAATGAGAAATCTTCACATATTTAATGGGCACCCTTTTGTAAAGTACTTGTTCAGATTTCTTTTTTAAAAGTGGGTCATCTTTTTCCAACTATTTTGTAGAGATTCTTCATATTCTAGATACCCTTTTTCTGTCACATATATTCACATATCTTTCCCACTCTGTGGCTTGCCTTTTCATTTCTTTCTGACTTTTTTTAGTGAAGAGAAGTTCATGTTTGCCTATTTTGTCACTTCACAATCCACCCTTATCCAGGTCCTTGTCTGCACTATTAGCATCTTCTTTAGTGTGAGCTAAGACTCACTTTTACATTCTCTTTAGTTTGTGAGAATTTACTTGATGCTTGGTAGCTTTATTGTTATAATCTGCTAAATAGCTGTAGCAAACATACCCAAAAATATAATCCTCAAACACAAGGAAAGGTTTTTTTTTTTTTAACTTTCTAAAAAAAAAAGTTTATTTATTTCTTATGAGAGATTTGGTAGCTTTATTGTTATAATCTGCTAAATAGCTGTAGCAAACATACCCAAAAATATAATCCTCAAACACAAGGAAAGGTTTTTTTTTTTTTAACTTTCTAAAAAAAAAAGTTTATTTATTTATTTCTTATGAGAGATTTTGAGAGAGACAAGCACCCCAACAGGGTCTTCATAATGCCATGATCCACCCCCAGTCTCAGCCAGTCTGGATCATGGCCATGTGTGTATATAGTGTGTATAGGGAGGCTCCAGGATGTGAACCCAGAACCCTCTCATATGAGGCCAGTTGTGTTACAAGAGAGCCATCATCTTCCCCTCGACCCTCTTCTCGAAAGAATTGCACCTCAAAGTCCTAGGGAAGCTGTTTCAGGTCAGTATGTGGCTCTGATCTTTGGGGACTCAGGCTGTTGATGACTTTACCCTCTTTAGTCTGTGTCTTCTAAGGCTGCCATCTACCTTGGCCCTCAGGGGACACACCTGGAGGAACACTTGCGCAAGGTTGATGGGCCAGCTCTGGAAGTGGCTCACATGCCAGGCTGCCAGCAGTGCAGGAGGTGGGAGCCATGATTAGATTCTGTCTGTCTGTCTGTATTCTCAGGGTACAGCTGGAAATGTTTGCCAGTGAAGTGTGAGAGAATGATAAGAAACATCAAGTATTTTGCTGGACTGAGCAACTGGAAGGATGATGTTACCATTTTCTGTGATGGAGAAGTTTACCAAAGGAGTAGGTTGGAGGGGTGGAGAATCAGCAATTTGGTTTTGAACATAGTAAGTTTGAGACCCTACTAGATATCAACTGGAAATGCCAACTAGGTAGTTGAATTTTCAGATTTAGGAGTTGTCAGCATAAAGCCGGTATTGAAAGGCATAAACCTGGTTGAGATTGTCTGGACAGTGGGTATAGATGGAGAAGAGCCATCATCTGAAGACAGAGCCCTGGGGTGCTTTAAATGTGGAGTTCCAAGAGGTGGGAGAGCCAGTCACAGAAATGGAAGAGCAATCAGCAGGGAAGGGGACAAATCAATAGGAGTTTGGTGAGAAAAGTCTTTGAAAGAGGAAGGAGTGACCTGTTGGGTCACGTGTAATCGCTAGGTAAAGAAAAATGAGGACGAGAAGTGACTATTGGTTCTGGCCCAAGAACTACATCAGTGCCTGTGAGTAGTAGCTTCTAGGAGTGGCAGCTGGCACTAAAATCACCTCCACTAATAAAAGGTGTGAGTCAATGTGTGCATGTGTGTGAACGTGTGCATGCGCATGTACACGTGTTTAGTATCAGAATCCCCCCACCCCAGCCACCTATGATTCTGCTGTGTATTCTAGGATCTGCCACTCCCAGGAAGAACCAGCTTTGCTTCTCTTTGATTTCCATGGCTTATGTTAAAACCTAGGGGCTGGAAGGGAAAGACTGAAGAAAAAGTGCTTGGGAAGTCAATGTTCTAGAGTCGTGCCCCATGTAAATAGTTACTAAGACAACTAATACCTTGATACGTTAGGAGCCCACAGTGTGTCAGTGTGTGCTAAGCCATTTATATGCATTAGCTCTGACTGCACCATTACCCCCTCAGTGGGATATTATTGTTCCAAGATTACAGGTGCTCAGTTGCCTGGGGAGAAGTGGCTGACCCATTAAAAGCTGTATTTCTGTTATATAACTTTTGACATTTCAGAAACTTTCTATCTGAAATTTCATAGTCTTGCATTTTGTTTGTTTCCACAGAAAGGACCAAATAAAACACCTGTAGCAGCCATCTGCCTGACCAGCTTGGTGACCATGGCCTTTGTCCTTGTGGGCCAGGTGAATGTCCTGGCCCCCATCGTCACCATCAACTTCATGCTGACATACATTGCAGTGGACTACTCTTACTTCTCCCTGTCCATGGGTGCCTGCAACCTCCCCCCGATGCCTGGGCCAGTGTCCAGCGAGGGTGCTGAAGCACTCCACTGCTCTGAGCACCTGCTCTTGGAGAAGGCTCCCAGCTATGGGTCTGGGGCCCTGGCCCAGACCCTCTCTGAAGGCACTCTGCTAGAATTCACCAAGGACATGGATCAGCTCCTCCAGCTCACCAAGAAGCTTGAGAGTAGCCAACCCAGACGAGCCGAGGGTGATGGGATCCCAGAGAGTCGGAAGAAGAAACACAAGAAGGCCACCAAACAAACCCTACAAGATAGCTTCCTCTTGGACCTCCAATCCCCTGTGTCCCTTCCTCCCAAGGATGCTGACAGGCTACCCACTGTCTCTGGGGAGGGGCAGGAGTCCAACCAGAACAAGCAGACTTCCAGGCAGGGAGAGACTCAGCCCGGGGGAATGTGTGGAGAACAACTTGTCCCTGAACTCTGTAACCAGAGGAGGCCAAGTGAAGGTGAGTGCTTAGGAATCACACTGGGGCCTCCTCTTTGGGGGGACCACTGGCTACCTCACCTACTTAGTTATCCCAGCCTTCTTATAGCTGGATTTACAACCCTTGTTAATTTCGTTTGATGTTTATTTTTGAACACTACAATTCAGGTATCAGCTGAATTATTTATAATTTTACTCTGTTATTTACAGTTAATTTTGAATATAAATTTCTATCTACTCTTGTAGTTAGAGCTGGGAGCCATAGCTAGAAATTGAATATCAATTTCTTTTTTTAAAAGAGAAATATTTTATTTAACTTTATTTATTTATT